AATCAGATAAGTCCTTTTTTCATATTAAGAAAAGAAAGCAAAGATCTAATATTCTCTTCTCTGGAAAGGTTATTAACTTTTGTTACTTATAACGAACCTAATCAAATCTCTGAATGTTTTTGCATTTTTAACTTTATGAATCTAAAAAATGAAACTATAAACCACTAAATATAAAAATAATAATTAAAAAAAATAAAGCTAGGACTCCCCAAAATGTATCATCATACCTTAACGTTCTGTTCCCATAACATCCCAGGTCTCCAATACCAAGATCATCAGCCATCAGTAAAATGACATTGGGATTTGAAACACGGTGGGTATTGACACTGTTTATGGCACACTGGCAGATTACCAGAAATAAAAGGAGTCTCATCTTCTTCCTGGTGTAAGAACAAGTGGAAAACATAGTAGATAAGACATCTTTTAAATTTCACTGTTAATTTAATTTACACCTATTATTGCCCCAGATTATATAGTAGAAAATAAAAAGAAAATTAGATTGTATATTTTTATTTGCCTTTTTTTCTCAAGAGGGGTTTTTTCCCCAATATTTTCTCTGTCACGATTTTACAAATAAAAATGAATGCTTTAGTATATACTTAATCTTTCCTTATGCACCTTTATGCAGATAAAGCCTTTAAATAACAACTAACAAAAAACTAGTGAAAACCTCAGTGACAATACTTTTGCATACACAGATGCACTACACAGCAGTGAACCATGACAGCAAATAAGACTTTTTTATTTTGGGTATAAATATGATATGAGGAACACAGAAAATGAAAAAATTTAGGACAAAAAATTTCCAAAGTTCATTGCAGAATAGAAGTACATCAATTCTGCTACTGAATTAAATGATTGAATTTCATAGAATCATATAATCATTTTGGTTAGAAAAGACCTTTAAGATTGAGTCCAACCACTGATCCAGCCCTACTATGTCTGCCACTAGACCATGTCCCAAAGCACGACATCTACTCGTCTTTAAAACACTTCCAGGGATGGTGACTCCACCATCTCTCTGGGCAACCTGTGCCAGTGCTTGACAACCCTTTCAGTAAAGAAATTCCTCCTAATATCCGAACTAAACCTCTCCTGGTGCAACTTGAGGCCATTTCCCCTTGTCCTATCACTAGCTACGAGGGAGAAGAGACTGACCCCTACCTCGCTACAACCTCCTTTCAGGTAGTTGTAGAGGGTGATAAGGTCTCCCCTCAGTTTCCTTTTCTGCAGACTGAACAACCCCAGCTCCCTCAGTCTCTCCTCATTAGACCTGTTCTCCAGACCCCTCACCAGCTCCACTGTCCTTTATCTTCAGCAAGAGGAAAACAAGTAGAATGGCAAAGGGGATGACGAGATGCACTGTCAGATTATTGAAAGGAATGTCTAAGAAAAAGCTCTTCACAAATGTTTTAAACATCAGAGCCTATAGCAAAATTATGTAAAAACATTTCAATTGTATAACAATGTTTTATAAACAATGCTTGTGCTATATTCAGCTTAAAACAGGAAGAAGGTATTGTACACAACATTACATACCATCATATGTTCACACGTTTTTATAATAAAAGCTCAGTCTATTTGCAGATGTGCATGCTATGAATGCTATTTTATCTAAAAAGGGACTTGTCATATTTCTGTTTTAAACAGTATTGACTATACTCTGGCTGAAATTGTGTTCCTCTGGACTGTGATGGACTGTGCCAGGTACACACATCAAAAAAAGAACCTAGACTCTCTCTCTTTTGCCCCTAGTAATACTCCCCTCTTTTCAAGTGCAGATGAGGTTTGAGACACACCTGTACTCTGGATTATGCTGGGACAAGAAGGAAAGCAGAGAAAACCGAACTGAGGTAGAAATTTGAAAGTGAAAGAGTAGGAAAAGGAATTAGAAACAAGAATTTTCAGAGAGAATGAGGACAGCAGGTCAAGAAAGAAAAAAAACTTGTAAATCAGTGAGTTATGGTAGATAAAAGTAACTGGAGAGAACATAAAAGAAGCCAGACCTGGGACTTGGAAGAGCTGGAACAAAGAGACTAGACTTCAAGGGAGATAGATCCATAAATGAGTGAGGTGTGGTGGGCAAAAGCATCTGGAGAGAAGATGAAGTAGTCAGAACTGGAAGAACTTGAACTAACTTGAATAAAGAGCAAGAAGGGATGCCTGAGGCCTACCTGGAATGAAAATTGCAGGTTGAAATGAAAAGCAAATAGTAGGGGGTTTAAGAAACTGGAAGGGGTAGTATGAGAGTGGATAGGAAAACAAATTGAGGAAAAGAGGTGAGGGAACTGGGATCATCTGGGATGAAAAGCTGAGGAGTTACGATTAAGAAAGATGAAGGGAACTGACTAGAAAGAAGAGCCCGCACAGATAAGACTTGGGACTGACACAAGTGAGAAGAGATCAAGATAGTGGGGATCAATCATGACAACTGATTCCCAACCTTCATTATTGCCATTCTGTCAGAAAGTATAGGTGCAAAGAGGATTTTAACTCTTTTATGCTTGTTTGCATACAGACAAAACACTTATAAGTATATAAGCTGATTTTTACTGCTTAATATACACTTTATAATCCACTGACCTTACTTTGATGACAACAGTTCTGGTTCAGGCTTCAGCTGAAAACACTGAAAGATCCCAGCGTTATCACTGCAGCAACTGATTGTTACCTGATTCACTTCACAGGAAGCAATCTCGTTCATTTTAGACACGGAAAATACATACACAAACATTAAGACTAAACCACTAAATACAGCTCTGCTTGGTGGAATGCATCTAAGCAACCCTTCATCACATTACTACACTAATGAAGCTGTGTAGCACCTGCCACAGTGCAGACTTTTCATCTGTGCAGTAGATTTACCTTTCTTCTCTGAAAGGATAAATAAGCATGAATAGCTTCCCATGTGTTGCAAGAGAACAACCAACACACTGACCCCTCAGGATAGGAACAACCTGCTGCTCTATCTTATGTTCCTACTCCATTATTCAGACTGTGAGGGTCTCAAGATTCATGATAACAGGGATGCTGAAAATGGTGACATGTATCTTCTGCTGTATATGTTATATAGCCTCTTCAGAAAATATTTTTAAACATATCTACACAGCAAAGCTAACAATAGATGTGCCCAATATCAACTGCCATTTGCAAAGTGGCTGAAAATCTCTTATTGTCTGGATCTATTCCTGGAGAAGTTTGACTCAGTCAGTACCTCCATTTCTCATTTTGCAAATAAAGAAAAAAAAAAGTTTTTGAAAGATGTCTCTGATATATTGCTGGATATTCCTCTAGTCTGAAGGAGTACCTGTAGACTTTCTCATGCATTGAGCTATTTGCTTCTACCTGATATCATGTCCCTGAAATGAAATCAACAAGGAAACAGGAAAAGAAAATATTCCAAACAACTCTGATTTCTCTGGTGTACTCTCTCTGCAGCAGACTTTCATGTATCTTGAAGGGATGTGCTTGGAAAGCAAGAAAAATTGGATTAATTAAATTGACTGGAACAAACAAAACCAAAGGAATTTGGAGAAGTAAAAAAGGAAGGATGTGAGAAGAATGAAGCTCCGAGAATGCTGAGGCTTGTCTGTGTCACACCATGGTTTTTAATGGTGAAAAGACAGGTATGTGCAGACCTAACATGAAAATGCACTGAATCAGATGAAGCTTTCACTTAACCTAGTATTTTCTCTTCAACAGTAGCTAATCCAAATGCATAAGCAAAGAACACAAGAAACTTGGAAAGTATATCCTTCTACTAGATTGCCCTTCCAGCTTTTGGCAGTCATTATTTCAGGTAGTTTGAACACTGTACACAATAGGTCCCCATGGATCTTTTTACCTTCATGAATTTGTTTTAGTAAATTTTGAACCAATGAACTTTTTTTTTTTTGCATTGAATCAATTAATTTTTTTTTTACTTCTACAACACCCTTTAGATGTTCCTGCAATAAGCTTCAGCTCTGAAGAATTATGTTCTAGATTGAGGTGGCAACATTTTTCCTTAATTGCATGAAGGACACATAAATGTGATTTTTAATCCATGCTTCACTTTCCATATGAAATAATAAGACTAACAATATCTTCTTTCTTCCCAAGTTTGTTGCTAAGTTGAGTAGATTTAAGAAAGTGCTTAATTTATTACAAGACCCATATAGGAATTCGGATTTCACACATGCTATTTCAAACTGCTGTACTTTAATCACTGTATATGAACATATATACATGCATATATACATAAATGTCTTGATATACACATTTACACATGCATATAGGTGCACATACAAACATTTCCTACTTTTTTACATATTTTCAAATTACATTATTGGAATTCTAATACATATTTCTTTATTTGTATTAAACAAATTAAGTATAAATGTCTAAGAATGGATGAAAATAAATAACATGTATAATCCACCATTTGTTGATATTTCATATGAACTTATCAAACACTTAAGTTTTAGTTTTCTGTTCTCTACATTAAAAAATTGTTGGCAGTTCATATAGAAGCCAAAGAGTTGTTGGTTCCTCCCCTCCCCTTGCCACAATTAGCTTAAGCTGTTGCTAGTTGTTTCATCCTTATTACATCAGACATTACATTACATTATATTACATTACATCTCTATTACTAGACACATGCATCTTGTATAAGAATGATGATATGAAAGTCTTTCAAACCTCTCTTCCCAACTGAATCACTCCAGCATTTTTATTCAGTTTGATTAAGCAATTTATCTCTGAACTACTCTTTTAATATAACAGAATCTTTTGAGAAAATGCTTGACATACTTTATCCTTGAAGGTACAGTTATTTTCTGGTGAAATAAGCAACATTTAAAGATATTCACCTCATTAAAAAATTCTGTACTTTCAATGGCATAAAAAAAAAATACCTTGCTTTACTGAATGCCAGAACTCCAAAAATTTAATTAAAAGCCATAAAAATCATACAGTAAATAAACACACTAGCAGAAAACCCTGCATTCTGTAACATTCTGTAACAAGAAAATTCCTTAGTTTCATGAGAAACAAAAAAGTAAGGTTTTAAATTGTAACAAATGGTAAAGTAATATTATATACTATTACTAATTTTCTGGTATCGGCTTCAAATCTCTTAGTTAATTCCTCTCTCACAAGTAGGTCATATCTGTTGCAACTTTTATGTCGTATGACTGTGAAAAGAGAAATAAAATCAAATGCTTTTGGCCTGCTCCTAATGCTAATTCATTTAGAAAAACAAACATAACTTTGCATTTGCAAGAAGCTAAGACCATGCAAAAATTCAGTTGCAGCATCCTAATTGATCACTGGTAACTCAGTATCAGTAATACAGTTGTTTCTAAAACTCACCACTTTTTAATGCTGATTTTT